ATTTGAAATATAAAAAATTTTGTACGGCACTAATCACTTACGTGTCCAACAGAGAAAAACAGGATCACATACTCACATCCACCCTCTCACAAACCTTAAAATTAACTACGCTAAGTTCTTTCAATTTTTTTTTTTGGAAAAACAAAATTCTAACCATTACAAAACAAAATTTTTTGTCATTAAATGACCAATAGGTATATAATAAAAACGTCTATGTAATATATAAACATGTGATAAATAAGGTTTCGGAGTTTGTCGTTGTTATACTACTGCAGGTAAGAGGAAAGGGCGGCCATCACTGGAGCAGGCGGCAACGCGACAGGGATGTGGTAGTATTTACAAGTGGACCGACAGCACTGTCCCTTGGCAGCGTCTCTGCAGACGGCCACGCGCTGATCAACCACCTCCACCCCTTCCCCTGAAAATAATTTGAAATTCTCACTCACTCCCAATGGACCAAATTATATTTGGCAATCCCTGCTTAACGTATATGCATTACGCAAAAAATAAATAAATTTGGGAACAGAGAATATCAAAGCACATCAGAGCTAGTTCGAGGGAGATAGATAGTTGAAGTTATAAATCCTAATATTCACAATTGTCACTTTGTTCTAAAATATCCTTTTGGTTTAGAAGTCCTGGATTTAGCCTTAGTCTGGCCGGACTTCAAAAAAGTTTGAAAAAAATTAAGTAATATTATATTCAGTTGACGTGAACTTCATTTAAATGAGCTAGTTGCATGGACAAACAAAACATAATAAAATTTAAGCCTACTTTCACAAAGAGAACTTAAAATATCTACAAAGAACCATGTTTCCTTTTTTCTGACTTCTATGAAACTCTATACCTAACGAAGAAAAATTGTTTTGTGTCTTCAAATGACTAATTTATTTCGAAAAAAGACTTGTAATGGAGAGATATAAATAATAACAACAATATTCATTTTTTACGTGTTTTTTTGATGTTCTATGATGAAAAAACAGATCTCAGAAACTACAACTAATCAACAAGAAGTAAAGAAATAAATAAAATAAGGCAAATATAAAACGAAGTATCTACGAAGACCATATACATACATACAGAAAATTGCTTTTTCAATAATTTAAATTAAACGTGTAAACTAACTAAAACATGTTATTTTTTAAATAAACTACAACTCTTCCATTACAGGAACCAGCCGCAAAAATGAAACTTCAGCTTGAATAATAAAATTTGGCTCACCTTCCTGTAGATGTACAAATTTGCAAGCAGGCCGAGTACAAAGGCCGCGATTAAAATCTTGGCACACCGGGAGGGTGTCCAGTAACTGAAAAAGAAAATACGAACGTTATTATATATCTCGCCAAATTAACTTAAGTATATGGTGAATAACTTATTTATTCGTAGTTTTGGATGTGCGCATGTATGCAACCAAGTACTCGTAGATTAGTGGACGGTATGGAGTCTCAAAAAAAAAAAAAAAAACCGGATGGAAAACTGCATACATAAGCACTACGCTCGGTTCCAGAAATCATTCACAGATACTCGATGCACATGCCAATCATGATTAGAAAACACGTTATTAGAAATCTGGCAAAAAAAATTACTTAGAAAATTCAATCATTCTGCATTAAATTTGAAAACGCTTAAACGTAAGTTTTGTTGAAGGAACGATCCCCAAAATGGCGGGAAATGGTACTCTGGCTGCTACATTTTCTTCATAAAGACTCAGCCCGATTTTAAGTCGTATTAAAATCTAACGTCCAATCCTAAGAAAAACAAATAATAAGCACAACAAATAATTTTTTTTTGTTTCAATTCCGGGTTACAACTAATAAATTTAATGCAAAATACCAATGGAAAGCGAGTGGCAGCGAAGTAGGCCAAAACCACACAAGCGCAGTTAAAAAAAATACACGGAAAAAGTGTGTTTCCATGCAGAATGTTTGAAAAATCCATTTGAAATTTTGAAATTCCCGTTTGAACTATCCAAAACAGTCGATACGGGTTAAAGCAGAGAAGACTACTTCAGCGTAAGAAAAAAAATACTGAAATAAGCTCGAGATGAACACGCCGAGCAGCATGTTCATCTTGTAATCGTAACAAGCTACAATGCCACTCAAAACAGATAACGGAGATAAGCTGTGATTAAAGCATTAGTAATGCATAAACTCACAAAATGTACCAGCAAAAATTACGAGTGAGGTAAAATTAGAAAATACGTTTACGACGTTGCCCATAATTTGTTTAGTTATGACTCGCATTAAATAAAGTACTGTACATTTTGCATTAAGCAAATCATTGTAACTTGTTAGTTATATAAGATTATGTAGGCTGTTCCACTTGAGGTTATCCTGTAGATAGATAAAATTATCAATAGTTAACTTCATGTTAAACTGTTATATCACTGTGTAATATGTTATTTAGATATATCTCTGTGGTATGTACACGTTGGTTAGTAATAATTGAAGTCTTAATTCGATGGTTAATTTATCTACGGGTGAAGTGCGATGTCATGATAAAAATGTAAAATAGTAAATTAAAACTTTTAGTTCAAACGCCAGTTCAAAACATATAATTGCATTAATGATAGACAGTTTGAATTAGGAAATTTTTAAAATAAAATATAGAGATTTCATATTTTTGATTTAGAAGCAGGTAGTGGAATTTTTAGGCGTCACTATTCGCGCTTCAAAAACCACAGAAATATATAATAAAAATAAATCAAAGAAATAAGGTGAAATTGATAGTGAAAAATAATCTACCTTAACTGCGTTATCAATATACGTCTCTAGCGATGTGTAGTACAGCTTACATAAAGTTAAACAACATGAATACCTGTCCTTGCTCGTCAGTGTAGATCACAAAGGGGGCGTTCGAGGGCGCACCATTGTCTATTGGCGACACATGCAGTATAATTGTGCAGCAAGAAGCGTCATCGCAGCCAATTACAGCGACGCGACAACATTACGGTATTACAGCCATGTTTTAATCACCCCACCATACACCATAATGTAAATCATGAATTTTTACAAGCACGTGTAGTGCGGTCATTGTTTTTTTTTTTTTGGTTTGTTAAAAGACACAGCCATTGCGACGGAAAAATAATTTTGAATAGTAGGCAGAGAAGGGGGTGACATTGAAAGGTGTCGGTGGTTGGTGAGTCCAGCGGGTCCCCAGCAGTCCGTAGGTCATAACCACACATAGGCCGGTGTCCCATTTAAAAGACATACAAGAGCGGGGGTTGGTTGCAAAATAAAGTTTCGATTTAGGAGTAAAACGCATGATTGACGGACGAGACCGGAAATGTGAAAGCATGAAACAGAAAAGCAAATAAAATTGATTTCATTCTACTATATAGGCTTGCATATAAAATTGTTACACCCGATTTGTTTCCTTTAGACTGTGAAGTTCAGTCTTGGAGTACCATAGATCACGTACTTAGGAACGGTAAAGGAAAACGTCAATTTCTTTGGAAGCAAACTGGTAAAGAGGCAATCCAGTCAGCGGGAAAGAAGTTACATATGAGAAGAACTAAAGAAAGCTGCTATAGAAGGCAACGCATGAAGACGAGGATATAGTTTAGTTGTAGGTGTAACAATTTTACGCAAATCAAAATCGTTCAAAATCAAATCCATATAATTTGAAAAAATCAAATTCGAAAAAATATCCAAATCGTAGGAAACGGGATTACTTACAATGTAAAATCTACTGTCAACGCCTAGGGAAATTATAACCTCAAAGCGAAAAAGCGGTAGTAACAGTTAAAAATGTAATAAATAAAATGATCAACAAGCTGTTACGTGTAGGACAAATCTGCGATGCTACAATTAGTCTATGCGCCTGGAAGTTCTGCAAACATAACATATTAAATAGAGGCTTAACAAATATAGAAACAAATATATTCCATGTAATAGTCGAGTTTAAATCCAATATATTTGTCTACTTATCCGTATATTTTACTTACTACAAAGCTACAAATAGTATTGGCAAATAAGTTAAGTCGTTCAAAATGTACAAAGCTCCTAAAATTTCACTCAATGCAATTTCACTAAGGTGGATTGTTTCACATCACTTTTATTGTTAGATTTCTATTTCTTTAAAAGCTTTTACGTCATCGGATACAGGTTGTTTAGTTCTGAACGGTGTTGTGCAATGTGCAATCAAGAGCCAAAAGGATTGGGAAGGGGGGGGGGAGGGGGGTGCTTTGCAGTTAGGGAAACAATTGTCTTTTATTTTAGCCCGCACATTACACAAGCGGCAGTTATCTAATACAGCTTTTTTTTTGTGGACGTTAAAGGAACATTTTCGGTACCAACATTTTATCTTTTGTGTATAAGAGACAGAGCTTACAAAACATACAATTTGCGGTTGGTACGTAGAGAGAGAAAAAATATATTTTGGAAATATAGGGATTGTCTGCTTTAAGTTTTTATCTGCTACATCTGGCATTAAAAAAAAAACGTACTGGATTAGATTTAATATCGGGGGGTTTGCCGCCTTAAAACTGAAATCTTGAACCTGAGCAAATTATTTTTGCGCGACAGTTAAAAAAATTGCCAATTTATTTAACCGCCGAATTTTGCTTCTAGCTCTCAAAACTAATTTCCAATATTATTTTCATAGCAATATCGGGTAACAATTTTTATTTGTTTATTTATTTTTTTTTTTTTGAAAGCATGAAATTCTAAAGTATTTCTGTATACAACAATCCTTTGAAATTTCAATATCCTCGTATATAATTTTTCGTACAAAACGGCAGAAAAATAATTTTAGTCCGCAAGCAAGCTATAATCAATATTAATCTGATACTAGGTTCGTCTAGCAAGCTGTACACATAGTGTCCAGTGCCCAGAAAACCAGCGAGATGTAGCAGATAAAAACAACATTTAACTACAGCAAAATAACAGAACTCGTCGATTGATCGATCAACTTCCGAGGTAATGAAACGTTTTTAAGCGTGAAGCGTAAGAAAAATATGAAAAACTTACTGAGTATTGGAAACTCGGGAACACCTGGAAATAAAGATTAATCAGCAGATCCCTTAACGTCTTGTCGTCGAGACTGCGTTTTAACTGATAATCGAAAACGAAAACAAGAACGAAAACACATCGTACGAAGAAAACTAAACTGCCAAGCTTCCCAACAGCAAAGTGTATAGTTTGAGGTTGTCTTTTTTATGAGTGTAACATAAGCGGGCGGGTATATTGTTAGTTCATACTAAGCCGTAAATGTAAAATTAATTTTCGACCGACAAAAATGAAACACAAAAAATAAAATGTGATGCAAAATCAAAACGCAAATTGATCCAGCACTCGGTCCAATAAGACCACGTAAAAAGCTTTCTCCGGACAGATTTCCAAAATTTGTTGTATGCGTGTGTGATTAAAAAGAATAGGTCCAACATAAAGTTCGGGGGGGAATTAAAAAAGGTCGTAAAAAAATAAGCAAAATGATTAATAAAACAAATATCATGCATTTTCAAGCATTATTATTACAAATAGTAGCGGTGATCATAATACATACACCTCAGGATTAGAACAGTACAATACACGATAAATCAATAAGGTATAAATCATGGAAAAATAAAAGTTTTGTAACGCTATAATGGCGAATTGTGACCCACACCTCTCAGCAAAGCGTGATCAGCAGCCTAAAGGCACTACATTATTGTAAGTAAGATCATAATTGGCTGGCAGCTGATTACGCACGCCCTGTAGCCAATCTACTGTAGCGATAAGAAATCTCGAGCCTGCTTTATTTGATAACCCGTCTAATCGTAAAGTAATCCTACTTAAAAATGCAAATCCTTTCGGTATTTAGATATACTTTGTGTCTAATACTTAATTTTACCGATTTTAAAATACATGCATCACAATTTTACGTACTGCTTTAAAAGTACAAGTAAAATTATTATATTATTAAATGCTAACTAATAAGACACATCATTTTAATTGTATTATAAGTCAATACACTAACGTACCAATATCTAATTCTATCGTATATATCTTACAATAAAACACTGCGAAACGACTAACACAGGACAAATATTTAGACACCAAATTTGTTTCCGATTTGACGGAGTAAAAAAATATCCCCAACGGGTTAGTAGAATTCCAACAAACGGCTGCGCGATAGCAGACCAGGCCTAGCCCTACTTACATTGAAACTATGATAATAAAAACTAATAAAGGAACTTTTTTTATCGGCAACAAAAGACTAGCCCCGGAACTCTACCAAGTTGCAACGGCGTTAAGCCTAAATATTTGCTCCATATATACACACACAAGAGAAACAAAAAAAAAACCGACACTAACATGTGTGCTACAATTTGTGCTTGGAGATCGCAGGAAGACAAAAATAACAAATAACCTTTGAGGCTAAACACATTTTTCTTCTTTTTGTTATAATCTAATAAGTAGGAACAAAATATAGAGCCAGTAGAACAGATACGCATTACTTTTCAACAAAAGTATACAGTGTGTCATTAGAACGCTAGAACCTAACCCAAAAAGAAAACCAATGGAGAAAACATTTAAAAATTATTTTAAACATCTTCGGGAGCATGCAAAAAACATGATATATCAGCCCCATGCAAATACTGTAATCTATAAAACGAACGCCCTGAAGCTTCCGTCGCGTTGCCAGTACGTTTGAAAACATTTGATTTTGGCCGAGCGTCGAAAGTTAATTAACCAATATTAGCACGTAATGACCCAGCACTATTCAATTTTTTTCACATATACGACAAAAATCACAGATAAATTTGGATTGCAAATATGGCATCCCAATCAATGGGTCTTGTTGCAGTTGTTTTTTGCAGAAAACTTTCTAACGACACACGCGCGCATATACGTCAAGTGAAAGAGAATATCAAGGTGCTTTTGCGTCTGACGGTGAGACTGGGGCATTTATTAAAGTTATTTGCCGGCCAAAGACTAAACGAAACGTTTTGCAGCGATACAAGGAAATGTTTTCAATATTCTCAAACGTACTCCATCGAAAACCCGATATCGAAGAAACGTGTAGCCAGTGGCCGTGGCCGCAAGTCACGTGATAAAATCCGATGCGTCTTTTTGGGCCAGTTAACAAACTACAGATATCGATAATGGCACTTCTAAACAGATACGCTTATGTTGTATACTACCATGCATTTCAATTAGGCTCTCGTATTTAATCAATTGGATCGTCATGCAAGTAAACTCTGGATAAAATAATTCTCCGACATTGTATCCGTTACACAACAGTAGTTACAGTCAGCCTAAACCTATTCACCAAATAGCTTTCTAGCTTTGAAAACGGATTAGTTGGTCAAACGGGCGAGGTCAAAGGAGGGAGGGGGAGTTATCAGCGGTGCGTACAGCGGATGATGTGAGGGTATCACAGTATCGAGGCACTCGCTTACCGGCGCAAGTCGCTTGCAGCGCCGCCCAGTTGTACGATTTGGAACCACGACTTTTTTGACTAGTGATTTTTTTCTTCCAAATTATTTATTACACATTTATTTAAAAAAAAACATTAAAAACTCTCAAAATTTAAAATTACAGTAACTAATTGACAAACAACGATAAAATAATCATTACAATTTTGAAACGACGATAACGACATTCAACCTAAAAAAAGACAACCGCGGTTTTAAAATCCTGATCGGACAGCAGCAGCAAATTGCTAGCGTTAACAGTTTGTTAACGGTGAAGCCAAAGAACAAGTAGCCATTAACACTTTTGATAACCATAGCTACAATTCAGAGTAAAAAAATGAAACATTTAACTACTGAGGTTAAGTTGCCATCGAGCGAAAACAGTTATTTACCTGCTAACAATTTCCTGCTGCTGCGCCACTAGAAGGGGTGTTCCTAAATATCATGTTTCAATATTGTGGAAGGTTTTAATTGACTTATTCTGTGAGTAAAAGTTCATATACACAGCCGCCCTAAATTGTTTTCTTGGTCCGTTAAAAAAAAAAAAACAGCTTTTCATCCAGATCAAGCACGCCTTTTTGGCAGTTTTGGCGAAATTAGCAGGTTTGATGGTTGTAGATCCAAACTATTCATTCCGGAGACTTAACCAAAGGCAACTCAGTTGGTAAACAAAATTGACAAAAGAAACGTTAATAAGCGTATAATCAATCTTAGAGTCTGGAACCAAATGACTATTTTTTTAAATGGACTCAAAATTGTCAAAGATATATTTCCGATTAGGACCTATATTATTGCATAACGGGAGAGGATATAAATAGAGTGGCTAAATATCAATTGGGGGGTCGTTCTTAGCTATACGAACGTCTAATTCCAGAACAAGCCAAGAAATTGCCACATTCAATTCAACATTATCGATTGGGAACGCCCAGTAATTTCTCAAATTCTCAAAAAAAAATCTAGCCCGACCCGCGGAATAAAACGCCTATCCAACAAAACCAAAAAATTAATAATTATAAACGCAAGAAACCGGCGGCGGACGTCTACGACGTCTTAAGCTTCTTGTACGGCTGCACCACCACGTTGTTGTTGTTCTGCGCGGCGGCGGCCGCTATGGTCGAGGTGGCGGCGGGCACGGTAGCGGTGGGGGCGGCCGCCACTGCCGACACGACCGGGTACTGCGCCCCCAAGAAATTACCGCCGAGAAGGGGTGTGGCAGCCGCCGCCGGGTTAGCGTTAGCGTAGCCCGGTCTCATCAGGGAGTAGGGGTTAAATTGAAAGGCGGTCATCGCTGGCGGCGGCCTCGCCACGTTCAACAAATTCTGCTGCGCAAAAGCGGCGGCCGAATACGGATTGTGCGTCAGGCCTAAGTTTAAGCCGGCGGCGGCCGCGGCCGCCGCCGCGTTAAAAGTAAACGGTATCGCGGTACTCGGATAGCGTAGCGCGGCAGTCGGGGGCGGTACGTTGATCGTTTGCTTATTAAGCGAAACCCCCGTGTAGTTCAACGGATTCAACGCGTTCAATTGGCTGGCGGCAAGCGATTGATTGACGGCGGCCAGTTTGACCGCTTTCGCGTAATTCTGCTGCGCGACCTCTTTAGCTATAGCGGCGGGATCGGTCATGGCGGCTAGCTGCTGCGCCGGTAAGGAGGTAAGGGACGCGGTCGTCGTTATAGAAGCGGGTATCTGAAGTGGTTGCGGCTCATTCTCTTTACTCAGCTGTTGCTGTTGCTGTTGTTGTTGTTGTTGCGGGTTGCTTAACGACGATGACATTGCGGGATGTAAAGCAGCCGCCGCCGCCGCCGCCGCGGCCGCTTGTTCGGTGGCCGAGGGAGAAGCGGAGGAGGATGTCGGGGGCGGGGCGGGTGAGGTGGAATACTCACATGACACGGGCACAAACGGCTGCTGCAACTGAACTAACTGTTGGTAGGTGGTCGCATTCGGTTGGTAGACTGGCACTCCGGATTTGTCGGCCGCGGGTCGCTTATACGGTACCATTCCCGCCGGGAACGCCTGCCGATAGGATAAAGGGTCGTTTAGTACAAGTCCAGTAATTAGCGTATACAAAGAATTATAGTGGAGAAACTTTAACAGCGTATTCAGCTTACAAAATAAGTTATAGTTCGATTTTTATTTTTTTTCTGAAAAATTTTCTAAAACCATGTTTTGCTTATTGCTTCAACTTAATGTCCAACTGGGACGATTTAACAAAAGAGAGACAAGAGAGAAATACTATTAGAGATTTTTAGAAAAAATAAATTGGCAACGAATTCATAGTCAGGACTACTTAGAACAAAACTACACCAATTTTTATAACGCTTCAATACAGGGTGTCAACAAATCCTTATTCGGAACTACATAAAACCTAAGTATATTAATTTTGATAATTCTTTTTTTTGTCATTTTCAATTAAAAAAATTCTCTAAAAGTACTTCTCCATATTCCGCAACAAAAAACTGTGTCAGTTAGCCATGACTTTAGTTGATGAAATATGAAAAAAGACGTTTCACTTCTCTTTAGTGTAAGTTATATCTAGCAAAAAAGGATTATCGAAATTGAGCCACAAACAAACATTCTACAGGAGTAATGTTTAAGCGGACTTCATGAAAAATGTTATAGTTAGATTTTATGTAGTCCTGAATTCTAGATATTTGACATAAAAAATTAGTCTTATTTCGCCACGTCTTTAGGTTGATGTAAAAAGAAAACAAGGTTTTGGTGTGTTTTTGAAAGATCTATGCAACAAAAAAAAAGTTATCAAAACCAAACAGTAAGATTTTAGCCTGGGTGTAAACGATATTTCAAATACCCTGTATTGAAACATTAAAGAAATTGATATAGTTGGGTTCTAAGTACTCTTCAATAAGAATTCGTTATCAATGTATTTCTTTTAAAATCACTAATAGTACTTCTCTCTTCTCTCTCTTTTGTTAAATAGTCCCAGTTCGCCATGACTTTAAGTGGAAGCAATAGAGGTTTTAGTGTATTTTTCAGTGGGACACATTGTATACATTGTAAAATTTTGCAAAGAATAGAAAAAGAGCTGTTGAAAAAACTACAAATTCCCATCACTTATGAAGATTTCGTTTTTATCTGTTTCTGGTGTTATTTAAAAAGATATAAAAAAATAAAAACGTTGAGAGATTTTAATTACGACATTTCGAGTCGGCGAACTCGAAAAAAAATCGAAATGTAGTAACTATCTTGTAGAGCTTTGCTTTTTTCTAATTAACCACCTTCGTACCACGATATCCCATATATATATATATATATATATATATATATATATATATATATATATATATATATATATATATATATATATATATATATATATATATATATATATATATATATATATATATATATATATATATATATATATATATATATATATATATATATATATATATATATATATATATATATATATATATATATATATATATATATATATATATATATATATATATATATATATATTAAAAAATGCTCCATTTCGAATATTTAAATATTGCGAATAAAATATTTTATTTCCTATTCTAAAAAAATGTTTTCAAAATAATTAGGCATCAGGCATAATTAGGTTATTAATAAAATTTCTGATAGTTTCTGATAATTTCGGATAGTTTTTTTCAGCGAAAATCAATTTTTGTTTAGAATTGATTGAGGTATCTAAATTTATTAACAAAATTGCAATAATCCACTTTTTTATTATTTAAATTCATTAAAACCGTCTCGCGAACGCCACGGGTTAAACAAAATCAAGTGGGTCTATGCTATAATTTTGTTTTTAAAAAATCTATAAATTTTTAAAAAGACAAAAAACTATTTAACACCATGAATCTACAAGCGCCTTTGGATATGAGTTTGTATGAACGTTTTACATGTTTTTATCTGTTGAATACACCTGGCCTATTCGAAATCTCATGCGTAAATAATAATTTTGATTGTGTTAATGTAATAAATTTTGACAAATTTCCAGCTAGCCAATATCTTTGACCAATAAGAAGACCAACTTAGTCATGAGTCGTATAGAAGCCGAAGTATTTCATCCAAATTAATTTTTATTCTAGAAAGCGCCTTGGCTTGTTAAAAAAACACGCGTTATTGTCAAAAAGAAAGCAGAAAATTTGGAACTAAATATAGTCGTTTTTTTTCTGGATTTCTTCTGCGCCGGGTTTTGCCGGGATCACATATAAGCCGCGATTGGTAGGTAACGTGGTGTTCAAATCAATAACGAGAACTCTTAATTTTACGACGATGTGTAAAAATGTCAGTTGAGAAGAGATTTTGGCAAGAACCTCTTGTCAGTGGCCTATTTTAAGCGCAATGTGCAGTTTGACGTTTTTCAGTTTCTGTTCAGTTTATTGAACAAAAAAATAAACAGCCTCCCTCAACTAACCAAAACTAACCAAAACTGTATATTTAAAAAAATACTCACAAAATTATCGTAGTAGAAAGAACCGACCGATTTCATATCCATCTGAAAGGAAAAACGCCAAAGATTAGCAGGGAAATAAAACATATCGACTTTTCCAGGTAATTTTCCGGGCGCGATGCCGGAAAATGTGTCACATCGACAAAAATATTAGTTTACAAATAACAAATTTCAAATCACGCTGTTTATAAAAACGACATCAATATAATATTGTAAAGCTATTTGTTAATATTGAACGAGTCTGTAATAAACAAAAAAAAATCGGCTGTAATTGTTGTTGCTAGAATGTTGCGAGAAAATGTAAAAAAGCGGTAACAATGTCTGCGCTGGCACGTTGCCTTCATTGTTTGTCGTCCGATTTCGTGTTTTGTTTATAATGCGAGAGGAGAAACTAAAAACCTGCAACTAACTCTAAAGGCTTAAGCAGAAGTGCGGGCGACTGTAAGCTGACACCAAAGTGTCAAGTGGCTAAGCATTTTTCTTCATGTCTATGTATAAATTTATATATTTTAAATAGGTTAATCCATGCAAAATCTAAAAGCAATATTTTTGGACCAATAAATGTACAGGTGTAAAACAGGCTGCACGTTACAATTTACAAGAAAACTGGATAATTACAATATTTAATGCGCAACTGCAAATCAATACAGTCGTATTTATTTGACGAGACCGGTAATTCCTAAAGCTAATTATTGACAACCTCTCACAACATGCTAACAACTTTATAAATAAGGTAGCAGTTTTGCTCTTTCTACATAATTGCAGCATGTGGATCGTGAAGAAAGCTAGATATCACTCAATGAATTAATTTTTCCCTCCTACTGAAAACTACGTGTGATTAAGTCCGAATCAAATATAAAATTTTCAAAATCACATCAGTAGCATTCTATCTGTTTCCTGAACAATATGGCTATATTACGCGAATTCAAAATTAAGACAATACAAACAAAATTATTTTTAAAAAATATTCAAAAATCACTTCAAACGGCAGGAAATTACCAAAAATCAAAGGTAAGACAGAAAATCCGAATAGGCAGACTCTAAGTCAAAAAAGAAGACTACTGTATTTTCCATACTAGTTGGTATTTTTGGAGTTTTCCAATCACATCTCACAGGTACTGTATTATTCCAAATACAACTGAAAAATTCTGGAACTTTCTAAAATACGGATAAAAGCTTATAAACTTGGATCAATCTGTTTTAAAGATAACAGAGTGCGAAGATCTGGTTGAGGTTTTTGTCAATATCTTCAAAACCTAAGGAGATAAATAAAATTTGGCATAATTACAAAACTTTCCGTTCTATTGATTATGCCAAAACTTGGTCTTGGGTGATGTTGATGGATGACACAGCTAATGTAAGGGGTGAAGTGTGGTACCAAAGGTCAAACCGAGCCATTCAAGGCACAAAAAATACGTGTTAACAACTTCTTTAGCAGTTAGTAGTTGTGGCAATAAAATATGTACGAATATGTACATGCTGGTAGTCCTGCAATTTTCAAAAATGCCGTTTTTAAATTACGAAAATCATTTGTGATTCAATTTCGGGAGTAAGCCACAAAAATGTGCCTGTGGTTTGTGTAAAAAAAGGCAAAAACCTGCAAAATAATTATTTTAGATTTAAATCCAGCAATCAATATAGGATTATATCGAATAAAATGTTAACATTATGGCACACAGGAATATAAAAAAAAATTATATGACCAATCATGGGTTGCTGGAAACGCATGAAAGAAAAATTGAAAAATTACAAGGTCCCGAAAGAAAGACGAGTGCAAGTGACAGAAGCAACGTGTAGTAGTCTTCAGTAGTAGTATAGCACCGGAACAATATTATAGAGAAACACATTGAGAGACAGTTACTATAAGCATGTAGTGTGGGATATATCCGTGTGCAATATACTAGCAAAAAGCACGATCACAATATACGACAAAAGCACTGGTACTTTATTGCAAAAAAATTTTGGCCACTCTGAAATAAACATATCGTCTAATTAGATCCACTCGCGCGTGTAATCAGATAAAATGATCCCGTTCGTAAGCCGACTCGATAAGTGCAAGCGTTTTGCAAAATTTACAAAGCTAAAACCGTCGGGCAAAACTGTTGGCTGCTGTCCTCTGGTTTTCTTCACTTGCCGCTAGAATGTAGTTAGGACGCAAACCACTACCCCAATGTATGTTAAACGTGTAATCTGGTGTTAGTTACGATACGCTTGTGCCATGAACAACTTCTCCATTAACTTTTCCGAATGTCGTTCACTCGGGGAAGCAAAAACAGCTGCTTGATGTTCATAAAAAATGTTTCTCTGATTTTGACGATTGGTGTTCAAATTCAGAACTAAAAAATCACTAATAGAGAAAATAAACAAATAAAAACTCGCCTCTACGAAACCAGTTGAGCTAGCAGAAGAAATTAAAAAATCATGGGTACGGAATCAATTAAGATCGTACAGGACGGATCAAACTAGACCCCTTTAAATGGCAGCTCCACTTTCTAAAACATATATAGCAAAATTTTCATGGTAGTATGTACCTATCTAAGTTTGTTTGTTTATAAATTATTTTTTTATTAGAAAATAATTAACTGTTTTTTTTTTACAAATAGAAACAAGTTTTTATTATAGTTAAGTTTGAGCCCATTAGCAGAGATTTAAGAGGCAGTTGTAACATTTCATTTTGAAACTTGGTGCTGGCATATGAAGGAGCTGGTAGGGAATTAATTTGAAATACTTTACAGCATTGCATGAAATTGTTATTTGGTATGTTAACAATGTGATTGTGATACACCGTTAAAAAATGTTATGAAATGAAGAATTAAGGGTTATTCACAAAAAAAGTCGAAAAACGTATGATTCTACGATCATCCATTTTAAGCCAAATGTTCTTCAACCAAATAAATTAAGCGAAACTAACACATTTTTACATTCCTGATCTAAAGCTGTAAAGATCCTTGGTTCGTCTAACGCTCTGGTCAATACTGTCAACTTTAGTCACTATTATTTGTAACTCCTAAGTTTATTTGATGTACAGTTTTGATATTTCTTAATTCTTCTTCCCGGCTCGTAAACAAAAACGATGAAATCCCACATTATTTGAATGAAAAATAATGAAAACCACAATTTGAAAGCTACTCAATACGCACTGTTTTTTTTTGTAACGTTTTGGCAACGTCATTCAAAGTCTACTTGTAAAAACTGATAAAATATCTGTATTTAGGATATGATTCCAGGAAAATAATATATTTAGAAAGAAAGTTTATTTTCAACAATTCAATCAATCAATAACTTCTAAATTATTGTGCATCCTTATATATCAAAGAGGGGCTTTGGAAATGTTTTTGATATGAGTTTAAAAAAATGCACCTTTTCAGTAACCATATTTAACTTGGAATGGTTATTAACATTACTTATTTTATGAAAATTGATTTCGGACAGCGACATTAGTTTTCGTTCATCTCTTTTAGGAAGGACCTTGGACATAGGCCATAATTGTTTGTTTCTTGCATAAAACCAATCAACCTCGGACCGAGGCACTGACATCTGAATGCTGCTTTTCTTTCGCACCCATCCAAAAAGTCATCAAAATCAAGCAAGAAATGAAGAAGTTATTATTTCGCATCTGCCGTTTTTGCGCTGCGCGGATCGAGAGTGTGCGTGTCACAAGCGTTAACGAGAATCGTACAAGGAAAACTGAAAAACGGTGTAGTGTCATGCAAAGCAGGCGCAAAAAGGTACCAGTAATAGATCTGTGTCGGCGGTGCTAGGCTCGCGCGGCCTCTTCTTGCCAATCTCGAGGGCGACTGCTGCGGCTGCGGCTGCTGCAGCCGACGGCGGAGGAGCCAGCAATGGCGAAACTGCAGCGGGCTATTAGTAGAGCATCAGCGACAAGACCAAGCACATCCGCGCGCACCATACGGGTGGGGTAAATAAAACAAATCGGTACTAAATTAATATACTCGAATAGTGGACGCGACTGCGACGATTAAATCATAAATAATACTGCGATGGGGCGATGCATTTCCGATTTTTCAATAAGATACGTCGACAGCGAAGTTGTTTCAATATGGTTGCGCAGTTTTGGTTAGTCCTATAACGGATTCATAGAGAAGGGCCGTTGAAAGATACACTGAAGACAAGTCAAAATTCAGTTTCGTTGCAAGAACTTGTGAACTAGAGAAATAGACAGAGAGGGTCTCCTCGGAAGAGTCACATCATAACGTACGGCGTAACTCAGTACCGTGGGATTTTTTAATATATTTCATTTTCAGATTTCTGGGAAAATTTCATGACAGGTTCTTGGAAATTTTCCTATGCTTAATCCCAAATCACATTACCCACTGGAAATTGATACTGATATTATAGGCTGTGTAAAATATGTCAACAAACAAAACTTTTTTTATATAATGTTTTTTAAATTAATTTAAAATTTATTATTTATTAGATATTATTGGACTTACGAAAAATATTTTTATGATAATGGGACATGCAATAAAATTGTTATATAATATATAAAATATAAAATTAATAGCAGTTTTAGACGCTCTATCTCAGGGAAGTATCGAAAGTAAATTAAAATCAGTGACGTACATTTGGATCAATCAATTTTATAAAGTTTCCCCCGCCGCTAACGCCACTGTTCAATCTGCATTTAGGGAAACATTTTTCATAAAGTGATATCAGGAATGGTGGCAACACCAACATATTGTATGATGATGTGGTTATGAATTTAGTTTTACATCGATTTTTTAATCAAAATGCGATCAAACCTCAAACTTCTTTCTCTTAAGCATTGACTTTGACAAAGTTTGTCATGTTTTTCGCTTTATTTAAAAGTCAAGCTGGCCATACACATCACTCGATATAAAACACTTTTTTCACTCCGTGACTCTAAAAGAATTAGTCTGTGTCTGGAGTCTAGGCCTATACAAACAACTAATAATATCGAAGGTTTGTTCCTGGAAAAATACTAGGAAATCTTTATTCAGTATTCAATCCTGGGTTTGAACCAAAATGTTATCATCGTAATGATTTCGTTTTCTTTCATTTTGTACTTCTTGCTTCTTGTGTTTCAAGTTTTCCTATATAATATATATATATATATATATATATATATATATATATATATATATATATATATATATATATATATATATATATATATATATATATATATATATGATGACACTATATTCCGGGATATCATCCGTTCGCTCGTTGAACTCCGACTGGAATCCTGCAAATCTTGCATCCGACTGGAATCCTGCAGACGTTTCGCCAAAATCTCACTTGGCATCTTCAATGCTCGCGCTCCGAAAACACTTCGAATATATATATATATATATATATATATATATATATATATATATATATATATATATATATATATATATATATATATATATATATATATATATATATATATATATATTTTATTGAATATTACATTCTAATTTCAATTTTCCTGTTTTGATTTGCTGTGAGGTGCAGTTAGAAAGTTATAATATATTTTGCAAAACAACTTTTATCTATACAACAAAATCTTATGGAAATATAAAAAAATTCCATAGAGGTACGCAACTGAATTAAAGAGTTTTGATATTTATGGAATATATATTTACACTTGAAATCAATCAGTTCTTGAACGAACACGATGCAAAACCTTAAACAAAAAAACTGGAAGTATTTAAATTAACGAAACAGTAATTAGAGGGCAGTTAATTTCAATATCTTCGAAGAAAACTGACTGCCATTCAGTCAGAACTCGAATTGTAATAAAGAAATTTAGTGTATAGTCAAAGAACACGATTAATAATAAAAGAAAAGTACAAACCAGCTCAAAATTTAAAGACCACATTGCCTCGCTGTTAACTATCACATTATATCAACCAGAAATACATATCAGCTCACCATCGACAACCACCCAGAAGCAACATGTCTGCACCAAATCAGGGAAAACGTTTATTGTTAATCGAACGACAGTGAAAGCATAAACACTTACCCATTATGCGTATAAATCTGCCATAACATACTATACAAAATTAAATGATGTCGATTCTGAAAAGATAATATTACACAAAAAATAAAATCGGGGCGTATTTATACTTTGACCGTCCTCATTTGGCAGACCCGTAATTTAAAAACCGACAGGCGCTCAAAAATGTGATCAATTATATCTACACTAAATAATTGTTGTTCTCCGAGTCTGCACGGTTTTCGATGTATTAAAAGAATATTAAAAGAAAAGTGCAAGTGCTGCTCAGTAATATATCTTCGAAGGTAAATTTACTTTGCTATAAAACTGGTTTAAAGCCTAAGAAGATCCATGCAAAAATGTATATATGTACACATTCCACTGCATCCTTGTCGAAACGGGGAAAATGTTGCCATGTCGTTCTAAATGTTATTGATCCTATGAATGCGCAAAAAAAAAGAGAAGCCAACCGACACACCTTCAACGAGCGAACAGCAGAAAAATAAACCGAGTGGTTCAAATATTTACTTAATGCGTGGCAGTGGTGGAATGAAACCACATTACTTGGCAATACAAACTTATCAGAGTTAAAAATCGTACGGGCTGATAGGCATGCATGCATGCAAACCTCAATTACAGCCTTTCCTTCAAAAGAAGTACTGGGGAATGTCACGTAAACAAATTGACAAACGCTCCTTACGCAACGATTTGCGTCTGTCTAAATAATTTCGCCCCGCTGTTCATCTTTATACTGCACATGATGGCACCTTTATCAAACATCAACAACCAAACGTGTGCTATTAATAAATTCCTCCTAAATAGAAGGACAGTTCAACTTTTCATATAATCAAAAAAAAATCCTTTAGACCAACCCATAGTGTTGCGGTTTTTCAAATACCCTCACGCTTATTGTATTGAATTTCTTCTAAAAAAAAAAAAAAACAAATTCTTTACATTTACTTCAAATTTTAAATGGAATAGAAATCGCCCCCAAGGGTCCTCTGTATTTCAATAAAAAAAAACCTTACCTGTAAACTTGAGTGACCTAAATTAAATACCCAAACGTTTTGAAGGGAAGCTGTACAACGCTAGAATATTTTCTGAATAAAGCCAATGAATTACATAACACAATAAGATAGCTGCAAATATGAGACGAATAAATGGAGCATTGGAATTTTTTAAATGGTTTTTATTAAAAAATAATCACGAGAAACAGTTTGTGTTATATTTCACAAAAAAAAACGGTCTAATTACACCATTTGATTTATCCCTAAATTAAGAATCTTTTTATATATAATTTCCGCGTTCTTCGTAGTGCGAATTCTTTTCTTCGACAAACTGTATAATATGTACTGGTTATAATTTGGCAGCCCATATCATAAATTTCATCGAAGTTATAGCGATTACCTTAAACCGCTTTTTTCTAGTTTAAAATGGTCTCTATATAATTCGACACTTATTCGATAGTACATTCAAAATTAATCTCGATATTTGCAACAATAGGCCTAAAGGTAAGTTCAATTCAAAATTCGCCTTCTTGAAATCTGAAGACAAGTTTGTGAGCAAAAATTGCATTGCTTGCCAAATATATTAAAGCTGTTATTTTGGCGTTTGATTTTGGGGACTCGGCATATCCGGTATTTCGATATTGTTGATGACATTGTTCTTAGGCCTATATTAAAGAAGACTGACCAAGTAATGACAACAGTTGTCGCCTCTCTTCTGCTTTCTTCTTTCCATGAAGAAGAATTTTCAAATAAACTCTACAACTCGACACTTTTTTCCATTTAAAATTTCAAAGCTTGTGTGCAAGCAATCAAAACAATTTTCCTCCTGTTCTTTTCTTTAATTTGAGGTCTTAGCTGTTTATAGCATTTACGAATTTGCAATATTAAGGAACATATAGTACACCGTCGGGGGAGTGATGGGGTGTTAAATTATAACCGTACACGTGAATTTTGCATCACGTTAAATGCACTGCACTGCGGCAGCTCTCGTAATTTTCGATTTTAAATCAAACGCTCTGACACCGGGCGATTAATCGAAATGTGCCAAAATAAATATGTCACGCGGTTTCCTACGTCAATTCAATTTACTTAAGATTAATCCCAAGTAACCGTGCAACCGTTAGGTAAGTCAACGGGGAAGACTGGGAGTGACGTCCGACGTATATACCGAATTTAGATCCACTTAGACCCTAATCAATCGATAATTTACCGTGATCGACACTTTCGACCGCATCTCGATTAAGGCGGACGTGTCGAATCACGACCGCAAATAATTTAGGGGCGCCACGTGATAAGGATGAATGGATGATGAACCGTCGAAACTCGCAAAACAAAGATTTCGGACAGCTTTCACACTGCAACACTAAAAAAAATATTTGTACAATATTTTACCGTATAACCGAGTGTTTGAGAAAATGCGAGAAATCTGCGGGATCTATGAGTAGACAGAACACGAAAAAAAAAATGAAAAGTTCCTATGTTTTTCGTACACGCTCTCTTTACGGAGAACGCGACTTAATTTTTTTTTTTTTTTAATGAACCCTAACCTATTTTCCTCTAATTTAATATGAAAGCAACAATTTTTTTTATTCAAAATGAAACATTGTTTTTTTTTCCTGAAAAATATTTCATCTTATCGGTATAAATAACGACAGGTGCAAATTACATATCTACAGCCTACAGAGTAAACTATATGAAGTCATGTTGTTTTTTCGTGTTCTATTTAAATCCCATAAATTTGTACTACGCACGGTTGGAAACCAGATACTTAATTTTTCTATATATTCAACCAGTAGATTTCGTATTAAAAGTAAAAAAACAACATACAAATTTGAAAGGTATCATGCTTTCAAATTTTCCTACAGTTAGTGTCTATTAAGGTCTATAAAAATTTGCGAATTTGTGAAATTTTTCATGCGATTTTGGGAGATCTATGGAATATAAGTAAACGTATTCCCGCTTATAGGTTTAGGATGTTTCATTTTCTAATTATTCCTTTTCATTTTAACCAATAAGTAAATATCGAAAACTATTTTTTTTTAAATGATAATGTTTAGAGTTAGTTTTACGTGACGAGGTTTACGTTCAAAAATATTTTAAATTAAAGGAAAATTAAAAAACCAAATTAAAAGTTAATATCTCAAAAACTGGTAAAGATATGAAGCACACTCCGACTGTTTTTTTATGTTTCTTTTCATTTTAACCAGTAAGTAAATGTTGAAAACTATTTTTCAAAAATGATAATTTTGAATTGATTTGAAATGTTAAGAGTTAGTTTTGCGTCATGAGATTTACGTTCAAAAATATTTTAAATCGAAGAAAAATTTAAAAAATCAAATCAAAAATTAATATCTCAAAAACTGGTAAATATATGAAGCATCGTCCGACTGTTTTTTTTTATGTTTTGGCATGTCTTAGAAATGTCAGTCAAAAAATCTACTACAACTGCTTCTACTACTTGCTATACACAGAAGGAAGCCCTCCCGCAAGTAGGTTTCTAAATAAATTTATTAGTTGAAAGCGGTCAAAATTTTTTTTAGCCGTTTCGAGTGTCCAGCATTTTAGGTAGGGGTAAAATCGCGAACCGTGTAAATATATCATCACAGAAATGGCGGAGGTTTTGCAAATGGGAAGTCGGCTCGATGGCGCAGGAGCGTAAGTCGCGTTCCTTTTTACACCATATCTGCGAATTTCAACAAATTATACTAATTGAAATGGGCGCTTTTTGTGATCAACGCCTGGTGGTATAGCCATTTTGCAAATAGATAGGTGGAGTTATTGGTTATTTGAAAAAGTATAATTTTGAATTCAATTTAGCGTAGTTTAGAGCGCCCTAAGGCTGAGAGATTTGACCAGTGGATATGTCCCCTTGTCAACTAAACACCAGCATAAAACAGTTCAATATAAGCCGCAAATGTATTAAAAAGTGTTTCCATGTTGTGTCTTGTCTTGCTACTGGCTACCACCGCAATCAATTAATGAAGGTATATAAAAAAACGCGCTCTTTGCATCACATGCTTTGTTTCGGGTTGTGGAGTTGGGGCATTCGCGTGAGGTGAAGGTGGAGGACGGGCGGGGATCTAGCTACCTACATACAATTGCAGTAATAATCCCGCGCCCAACAGCATACTAATGGAAAATTATAGAAAAAAATACTACGTCGCTTAAGTCGCGTGTAAACACAACACCAAAAAGAACACAGCGGCAAATCATCGCATCAGGAATTTGTCAAATTGCTTAGCGACACACAGAGCACACGCACAAAAGTAAACTACCGAGGGTTATTTTTTCACTAATCAGCGTCCCCGATATTACCCTGCTATATGCACGAAAGCTGGGAGGACCTACTGGTTTAGAGTAACGCTCCATTCCCGTGGCCAGAGGGATTCGGATACGGTCTCTGTACAAATACCGAATTACTTGTCGCAGGCAGACCAAGAAAACGTTATTAACAAACTCAGGAAACAAAAAAAAAACAACGCAACGGAGCCAAACCAAAAAGAACCAAAGGCATTCGATGAAAAGGTTAGTACTAAGTACAAAAGACAATACTAAAGGGGCGTGTTTAGCTTGCGTTAAGAAAAAAAGTCAACCTCGGTCCTCTTATGCTGCAAAAAACGCCGAATCAAAAGGCGACATTATCCAAGAGCAGTTTTTTTCCGGAAATAAAATATCGCTTAATTTTTCAACCATAACAGATATCGAGTTGAAATGTTGTAATATCCGTATATGGTTCCCAACAAATGTTGGAATTGTTTGAGCAGCGGCGTAAGAGAACCAAGCGGGGGAATCGGGAAAAACCAATTTAAAAACAAACAAAAAGGCGAGACAATCAGTAGAGACAAAAGAGAGAAACAACAACACTAAAAGCCGTAGAGCGTGCGCCCTAAGACTGCGTAGCATACCGCGCTAGCCCGCGACTGTGCGGCCTTGATTTGGGCTTGGAGGTGCAGAGGGGGATGGAAATAGCGGCAGGGGTCGCGGTTGCAGCGGCCCTTGACTGCATCCATGCAGACAGTGACAGTGCCGTCCTCGTTGGCAGTCACAGAGTCGGCGGGATGCGCAAAGCGACATTCTGACTCTGCGCGCTTGCACGCCCCGCGCTGGTATTCACGGCACACCTACAGCAGATTACCCGGGCTGTCATCAGCACAAGCCACCGCTGCGTTATCACTGGCCGCGGCCTGGCGACGTGCAGTAGATGTCTACGTCACGTCTTTCAGGGGCAGCTACTACTCTCTTGTTTTTTAGAGGGATGATCATTTAGTTACGAGTAGTACTTCTTTATTTTACATGTAGAATGACTCTTTGCAAACAGCGGCATTATCGACGATTACTATTTTTTTGCACAGGAAAACCTCTAGGTACACATCGTCTGGTCAGGTGTCGACTCTGTCTCGCTGACCTATCGTGAAACATGCTGCTGGTTTCTTCAAAGCGCTCTTAGAAACTGACATGGTGCTTGCTTTACACGCATTTTCAATACCTGCCGGGGATGGTCTCAATAAAGATCCGAAGACCTAATCCCAAACAAGTAGAAACCTGTGTCGCTGTTTATATTATCGGGGTGTTTGATGATATTCAGAAACCGCTGATGTGGTATTTGTGGAAGGTTGACTGCTCTGTGGTATCCTTTTTCCCGATGTATTCATGGGGCCAAAGCTGGACCGTAGATGGCGGGAGATTTTAGGACAAGTAGAGAATCTAGTTTCGATGTTACGTTGTTCCAGAATTTGGAGCACATGGAAGCAATGCAGAGGCAAACGGGGGTCATTATTTACGGAAGGAATTTCTGTAAGTGGTTTTGGTGAAGTGTATTTTTTAATTGGCCGTCTGATATATTGATAACAGAAATTGTTTGAGAGAAGAACTGAGGTGATGTGTCTTAAGAGATTCGGGTTGAGACATAGATGTTGTTCTGAAAACTAAACAATTGACCATGAAGGATTTTGAAGACATTCCTAGCCGTGTGGCCATCATCTTCATCTCTTAACGATCTCTTCCTGGGATTTGTTCGTAAATTTGTCCCTTCCATATGAAGCATGGTCCAGATAGATATTTTTCGATTAAAATGAGGTGTGCATGCTTGTTTCGGGAACAGGAACTTTAGTCGATGGAGATTCAACGTCAAAACTAACTAGAACGTCGTCTGGCTTTAACTTAATACATTTTAGTTCTTGAATAAGATGAAAACAATTGAGCTCAAAACTGAAATTTTTTCCTGTGATATTTTGCTAACGAAGATCGTAGAGTCGAGAAATTTTATAGTCTTGAGGAGTAACTGCCTTTTTTATGGATTCCGGAACAGATGAACCTTTAATGACATATTTTATTTTACGCTCTACCGAACGCGTATCTTTATTGTGACCCTCCCGGCAGGTATTTAAAGTGCGTGCAGAGTAACCACCAGCAATATCAGTTTTAGATAGCGTTTTAAGCCATGTTTCGCGAAACGTTAGTGCTACAGAGTCAACACCCGACACAGGAGAAAAGAAGGTGTGTGCATATAAGTTCCACAGCCCGCGGAAGTTTCTTTGCAAAAATAAGAAAAATCCGCTTTCCAACGTGAACTCCAATAAAGATAGCTGACACTCCAAACTTCGGCGAGTCAACGTCGTGGAAAATTATAAATATTATATATTTTACAATTTGGTCATTTGTCAACACTGAACTGAAATAGCAGGAGCTATTTTTCAAACCCCAAACTGATGGAACCAAGTGGAGATTGATGTAGAAAGTGGTTAGGAATTAGGTTATCCCGTCAAAATAATGAATTATTAAAATTAAAAAATGAGAAATGTATTGGATAGCCAAAGTAACAGAACTTAGATATTTATTAAATGATTTTTTTTTAAGAGCACGTCCGAACTGGCTTAACATCAAAAGCGATTTTGTTACTGTTGAACTAACTGAACTCCTCCTCGTGGACTGTAAGAAGATGGTCGGGAAAACAACAGAATAGATAATCCAAAACAAAACACGCATAGGTTCCCTCTCCCCAGGTTCGAAAAACTTACAAAAGCAATGCAAAACGGAAAAATGCACTGCCATTAAGGAAACCCCGAATTCAATTCGCAACCAAATGATCATCCAGCTGAATAACCTTCTATCGAAAAAGCAAAATATTACTTGCGATGTAAAAAGGGTACTAGGACTACATAAAAAACTTCAGCGGAATAAACCACACCGTGCACAATAAGAAAAAGGGGGGTCGATAGAAAGTTACAGGTGCTCCAAAAAAAGTAACAAAATTCAGCTAAGACTTGATCGTATTTACAGCTAAAAGGGTCTATATCACAATATAAGAGAGTGTAAAATAATAAACCGCAAATAACCATATGTACACAAGGGGAAAACTGAACTACGTCTATGTATATAAGGGTTAGCGATTCTGGTTAGGTGAGTAAGCGTGAGGTGTGTTAGTATATATCGGTTAGTCCGGGTTAATTACCTCCTATGCGTTACTGTCCGCAGCTCTAAAACCCAAAATAAAAATAACCTGCGAAAATAAACGGCAAAGTAAAAAAAAAGTAAACGCAAAACAAAAAGGCGAGACGTGTCTTATTTTAAGAACCAGAAAACGAAATAATACAAGAAACATTAGTAATAGTAAATACAGAGTAAAAAAATAAATAAATAAAAGAATTAAAACAAAACGCGGTGTCCGCGGCGAACGTTATAAAGCCGCAAAAACGAAACCGCTGTTGTTATAAAAAGAAGCAAAACGAATACAATAACTTAGCGCATAAATTAATTATAATAAATAAAATAAAATGTCGCTGCATGTACAATGAACGACGTACAGTTTCCCATGAATTCGGCTTCAAAACTGATTGTGATAAAAATGGTTCTGAAGTAGAAAAAATTGGGGGCATCCTACCTCGAGCCTGTCGGACCTGGGCATCTTTTGCTGAGTGACCACGGTCTGAGGTACGACGCCCAACGGTGAACCCACGCCCGTGGGATCCGGTCCCATTATCGTGGGCATTATGGGCCCCGGAGCGAAGTACGGACTATACGTGCTACCGACCTGAGGCATTCCTGCTAGATAGGGGTTGGCGGCCTGCAACAAAAAAGTTACGCGCTTTCAATATATTTTTTTTCTCGGGTACTTGAGGCGTAAACATGCACAGCGAACGCCAAAAAGAGATAGGAAACGGGAAAAGGAAGAAACGTAGACGAGAGCCGCGATATGGGAATAAAATCGGAATTAACGCTTTCCACGTGTGCAGGGAGAGCGGTTCAAACAGGTTTCCGCAAACACGGATTAAATTTGTATGCAAACGTCGGTTTGAGAATATCAAACAATGTAGGCACTGAATTTTAGGACATCGATCCGTGTAATGGTGGCATAACAATGTCTATAAATGGGGGTAACCTATCTCTGTAATCGTTGGTAAATGGGTTAACAACGACGAACATGACCTGCAAATCCTGTCGCTTGGCGGTTTAATTTTTTTTCGGAGATTTTGATTTTTATTTTTGGAAGCCGACGGCTTTTACTCAGAAATAGACTTAATGCCATAAGCTCTTTTTAATTTTTTAGTAAAGATTTATTGTGGTAAAAAATTTCTAAAATTATTGGCCGACCCAACACTTAAATTTTAAGAGAAAATTTTTAACAAAATGTATCGAAAGTATTAAAATTTTGTGGACATGAACAAAAAAATTTAGTAGCAAAAATCATGGATCTCCCGATAACAGTTGCCGTCAACTGAATACATTGTTTGCACTACAACACTAGTGACGTAACTAGTAAATATTTCATTTGTTTAATTACTCTGCAGAATTTAAGCAATTATTTCTGAAAGGAATTGAAGCAATGACGATGATAGGGCTACTGATTCAATAATTAGTTCCGACTTGAACCACACGCCGTAATTGATGATTTGATCACCATAGTTGACGATAATTTGTTATCACACATGTTTTTAACACTACCGGTATCTCAATCTTGATATTGGGAACTACATTCATCTTGGGGCTCTAATTCTCGAACCTGATTTCGCAAGAGAACGATAACCTTATCCCTGTCATTGTAATAAGAAAATAAATCAATAAATAGACAACATCCGTTCCCAGAAGAACGTTGTTGCCCATTTACAAGAAGTGAACGGATCTTCTGTCTTTGTCAATACATTTATTTTCATTCATTAAGATGGGAAGCAATGCTCCCGGTGCGAAAATTAGGACCCAATTCATTTTTTTATACTATTCTGAAAATTTAGATATTAATGAGTCCCTTTAAAAATTTTCCAATGACAAAAAGCAATGAAGGTTGCTTGTAGGATGAGAAGAAAAAGATGAATTGAACAGTTGAGCTGTCGTGGAATTTACTGTATTTAAATGTTGTTATTTCATAGAACTCATTTCCTATAGCTACGATTAATTAATTTGAACAAATTTTCAAATCAAGAATATCTCTCTTATTAAAGAACTAAATAATTCGAATGCCAAAAAGTACTTTGCAACGAATAGCTAAGATAAAATAGTAAACGCATAGTCCAACAAAAATAAATAAAATTTCAACGTCTGCAAAGTTCGTTGGTTGCTAGAATTTCCGCGCATTGACTCTATCAATGCCGGCTTCCGAAACCCAAGACGGGTAACTAACTAATCGAGCTGCTTTCCAGTTGGTAATCCGAAAGTTTGCTTATATCATTTACGGACCGTTGGTCAATTTGAGAGGACAAAATGCGCTCTCGAAGATTCTTTTAACGAAAGAATAAGAGGGAGAGATTTATGCCAGAGAGAATGGGATCCCGGAGGATATCGACCCGGTTCAGTTTTATTAAATATCGGTTTACTACTACTCGGGTGATCGTTCGATGTTAAATTAACCGAAAGATAAACTTGTGTTTTCTGAATTTGGGGGGAACTATTTCGCTTGATTCCGTTATTTACGATGGTGCTCCCACGGAATGTATTTATTGTTACGTTAAGGGCCGTTATTCCAATGTAAAAATTAATACTAAATTAACGAAAGCCTCACTTTATAATAATACCACATTCACATTACAACAGTGCTTGGAAAGGTGAAAAAAAGGAATATTGCAATGGCTCGAACTTCCGTAACGAAGTTAAGAAAAATCAATAACAGCCATTACTAGTAATACTAAATTAAGACTGCTTAACTAACAATGATAGCTTCCCACGAACTGTGGGCATACAAACGAATGGACAAATGAAGAGGTTGAACAATAAATTTACACTTCTTCAAAAAGACAAACTGTATGTATCGGTCACTCTGCAAGAACTCAACTACAACTAACCAAAAGACCTTATCGGACAAGAGCTGCATGAAGTAGTGAGTATAGCTCAAGACAGTGGTATAGTACTATCAATGTGGTAAAAAGAATACGTAGTCACTAAGATGGAATAGAGCAGAAGAGAACTAAATTTGAAATATTGAATTTGAAAAGGATAAATGTTATAAGATTTCCATAATATAACCAATTATGTGCAATAGGATTTTACATAGAGCAACACGGCTGATGAGGATTTTGGGAATACGGAATTTAAAAATTGGAATATACTGCTACATTTAGGAGCACCAATAACCTCGTGATTATCTTTTAACAGACAATTTAAAACTTCTTTTTTTGGCAATAAACTGCAATTGGTTGAATATAATCTTTTTAAATTCACCGAGATTGAAAAACCCGCAGTAAGTTATTTTTACCACGTATTTGCCTTCCTCGCCTTAGGAAACATGACACAAATTATGTTGGAAGAAAGGGGCCTTGCAAATAATAAAATGGTTTTAAAAAAATAGGTGGGTTTTAATTACCTCTCGGTGGGTAATAAACTTTTGGGGGAGTCGAAAGAATAACAAAAATTTATACTCAGAACATCGTATATTGTTTTTGCAGAGGGCAGGCAATGTTTGTATTTGGATATTTTCTCTGACAAATTTATTGGGCATATAACCCGAAAAAAAAAATATATTTTATTAATGGCAAAGTTTCAAATGAATTACAGTCAAAACGTTTTTTTATTAACTTAAAACAAATAAATGAAAACGGTTAGGTTCAGCAGTCCATGCCCTTTTTGGAAATTACGGACTTGGTAACACTGCACGCCGTCTCAAACATGTCGGTAAAATATCATCACAGGTTAATAAAATACGAGGTCACAGTGGAGGTGTTACTTTTACACTTCACTTACAATGAGCAAAGGAAAACTAAACAATTGAAATAATTAAGTGTAGTTGATTTTTTAAACTCTTTATTTGTGTCTTATATTTACTTAGGTAATGTTCTTTTTTATATTGTAGGTATTCGTAGCTACTAAATACTCTCATTGAACACTTTTATATATTTTAGTGTATGTAATCGAAAGTGTCTGTTTAGTAACAATTATTAATACTTTTTTTTATAAAATTTGATGTTGAATGATTTATAATTATTACTAGTATAATGAATACCTCAAAACTGTTTTCCGAATTGCGCCATTTAATACCGTTCCTAAAAACATACGCGTACGATCGATACCCAGTCAATTAACAGAGATTCCAAGAGGGAATATTTTCCCTCCTCGGTTTAATCCAGATCTCCCCAGAGATTTCCCGTCCCGAGGGGAACATTTTTCGTTAAATCTGATATTGTTTATATAAATTTATTGGGAACAAACACGCGGACCGATAAGAATCACATATAAACCTCCGCAGAAAAATAAAAGCGGGAGAGGCGATGAAATTAGAAATCGAGGAAAACGCGGGAATATAAAAAGCGTCAAGCGAAAGCGAAATTGAATCAGTGATTCGGATCTGCTATCGGCCGCCCGTAACGCATTTGTTTACTCAAAAATGATAAGGCGCGCGTCAACCGAATAGGCGACCAAAATCACTGAATCGCGAAGCGGCAACAAAAAAAAATAAAATAAGGATAAATCAATGCTTTTTACCATAAACGCGTACGAATCGTCTATTGCCATGGACAAATATGGGAAGAAGGTCGGGGTAAGGCACTCTACTGTTGGGTCCACCTCAAAATCAAAAGCGACAATGTAAATTTTTAGCACCAAACCCTGGGCCAGCGTGCGCATGCGCGACGATAATTAAGTGATACCAAGCACGCATCGACCAAGACTTACCACCGCTTGTACTTGTCCCGGTACCAATTGTTGTCCGGGTGTTAGGCCCATTTGTTGCATCAGGGCGTTCTTCAGTGCTAAGTGGTTCCTTCCGTTGATAAGCAGTTGATCCTTGAGGTGCTGGGGCGGATGGAAATATTTGCACGGTGGTTTCTCTCGATTACAGCGGCCCTGTAAAGGAACAAATCAACTTTTATTCAAAAATAAAAAAAATTGTACGACTTAAATCAAATATTAACAGGAACAAAAAACTTATGGATTCAGGTTACAACACAAATATTTGTCCCAAAAACAGCCATTTCACCCTTAAAATGGTTAAAATGGTGGCTAAATATTTTAAAGATAAAGTGGATATAATGCATTGGCCATATTTTGTATTCTCAAGCGGGAAAAATGTCCTAAAGAATATTTTTAAGAAGTTGTCTTGGACAGACTTAAATTTTTTTATGTGGATGTTATATTGCGGGTTCCAGGGAGGCAAATAATAACTTATTATTATAAACATAGTTTATAAAACTATATTATTTTATATAAAACTATACCCCAAGGTCATTGACTTCGCCAAATTATTAATCAGTCACACTCATTATTGCGACAAAATAAAAAAAAACTTATTTTTTTTTATTTAATTTGTATTTACATGGTAATATGTGCAAGCGTTAGTGCTAATACTGCCTCCAAACTGTTTGTTGTAAATACTATTAAATCGGGGATAACAGTAACACATTCCGCGAAAATGCTTTTGGAATAATAAATGTTAACTTCCGCAAAAACAAAAATAAAAACAAAGCAACGCGATTTTAAATCGGTAACATATTCCGCGTGTAAATATGTAAATTAATTTAAATTTCCTTTTTATTTTTGCTTTTTGTTTCGCCACGGGAAGCGTATGAAATTTTAATAAAGACAAAAGATGCGAAAATGTTACTTTGTATGACGAGCCAAATGAAGGCACAACAGACGCGCACATGCGAACCACAAAAAAGTATATTTCGGCACAAATCATCAACATAGACCGTATATGATTTGAAAATAGTTCGGCGATATCATGATCGAAATAAAGCGGTCAAAAACAAGTATACAGGGTGATTTTTCAGTAGATGTAATGAATTTTGCGTATATTTTAAAAAGAAAGCGATATGGGAACGTTATATCCGAAACACAGCAATCGATTAATCAGTATATTTTTAAATAATGCCGCTTAAGCTAATTTAATTAGATTTACTATCACGAGGCATTTGTTTTGTACCAGATTTCCTTTTATTTCCACCAGTAATGTTCGTGATGTGCACATTTTGTGTATACAATTTTAATTTAAGCTTTCTCCTTAAAACGGAAAATTCCAAGTATTGATGTATAATAATAATAATTTCCGTTAGACTTACAATGGTATAATGTCATTATAGATACTGTATAAAATGTAAAAAACGTCTCACAGTAATAGAAAATTAAAATAACAAACAGGAACAACAATTTGAATTTGAAATTTAAGTACTCGTCAATTGAATAAAACGCTTGAATGCAAAAAAAATGTCCTTGCTATAGACTTGAATTAATTATGATTTGACATTTGTTTGACATTTAAACGTGTTGAAAAGTCTTATGGGTAAAGCCAGTTTGCCAAGTCGATGGGGTGGTATGTATATTAAGATTAGGTCTTGGGTTATAAGATAATATATCCGTTTTTTCAACTTCAATTTTAAATTCACCTTAACGTATTTATGAAGTTGAATCTGTATGTTAAAACCGTTGAAATTTGGGACCCTATATGAACTTCGATTCTCGCTTTCCTTTTTTCTTATTAATTCAATATAAATAAAGGGAAACTCGAAAACTCTCATTATCGAACCCCGGGGTTATACGATATCGTTATCGACCAAAACAAATGCGTCCCGAAATTTGACAGGAAATTTTGAAAATGCATTTGTTTTGGTTGGTAACAATTAAACGCAAAAACACAATTCTCACGCTTCGTCGATCCGTTAATGCCCGCTCGCGAATTCCGTGCGCTATCGATTATAATAAATTAAAACGCGATGTTGCGTAAAATTTCAACCAATTAATTTGTCGGAAGTTATTTATACCGGTTCTCTTCCCATTTAGACAAACCAAAACGTTTTACATATTTCATCGGGACAACGCAGAGGTATAGTCAACACAAAGTCAATTGGAAAACAGAAAGTCGGGTGGTTATGCTCTGAAAATAATTAAATATTACATAAAAGTTCCAGTTCAGATGTATCGACAATATATTTATTTATTTCTTTATTTCTTTATTTGGTGATTCCACTCTATCCGGGTAACTGGCGTGATAACAAAAAAAAAACAAAAGCCCTGTGACAGAACCAGGACTGTTTCATAGGCTAACGCTTTATAATAAAGTTAGCTGTTCCAGAGGTACACGCTATTTAAAGCATGCGCAACATATATCACCGTTGCACAGAACGGCACCATATATAAGATTCACCAAGTAACTTTAAGTTTAATAAGGAGATTTGAGCGATCGTTGCATACTTTTGTAGAGTATATTTTTATATTTTATGTTTAAATAGTTTTTTTTAATAAGCCTATTTACTTATCTGCCTTATGAGATTGTCACAAGATTGAAGTTCCAGTTCTGCAGCAGAGTAGAGACTTGAATCAGATTTTATATTGATACTATTGCGATTGAGAAACCTTCACCATATTCGATACCTTGTAGCTACTATTAGGATTGGGTCCTCAATAAATAATATTGAAAAAAATCAAATTAGAACTTTTTCAGACGAGTCAGAAACGACAGCTAACGCAAATGAATAAGTTGCTACATAATTCGACGGGCCTCCCACGCTATTATTAAATTAAGATCCTTTTAACGAAACGGGCGTACTTAAACAACTAGTCGGCACTGCCAAAAGTCGACAACTTTAGCGGAGTACATCAAGTTTATGAAGCGCCGACGGATAGAACGGTGAACTTCCCGCAAACAGCTTTCTCTATTGTTCACAACCGAAAACAGATTCCTTCCCGCGTACGTATACGATACAACAACGTTGTCGAATAACTCTGATTTTGACGTAATATATTATGTTCAGAGACGAACTACCAGGTGATAATATATTTGTAAGCGCCCCAATTTTGAATTTCGAATAACGACACCAGTCTATAGAAAGAAACACTAAAAGCGAGTAATTGTATATTGTCAAAGATAATTTCCTTATCAATCCAGAAAAAATATTTGTTTTAAACTTAAGAACAACCTATTATGTACGGTGCGATGTGTTTCTGGTTGTAAACTTGTAGGAAACGAACCAATCAAGATGAGTTGTCGAGTTTAAAGCTCGTTTTAGTTAAAACGATTCCAAACAGAAAAATCAATAGATTACAGTAGATTTTTGTAAATGCGCCGAGCGCGGCTCTAGTTATAATGTACAGGGTGTTAATAAAAACCAAACTACATAAAGCAAACATTTTTTAAAATTATTTTTGAAATGTACATTTTATTATTATTGTCGATGCACTCTTGTAGGTTCTCGAGGAAGCGCATCATTACCCGATGGATCATTTCTTGGGGAATTGAGGCAATTTCTTGTCTTATGGCTGCCTTTAATTCTTCCAAAGTCCGCGGACCATGTGTGAAAACTCTCACTTTGTTTAGAAACATTTCTTGAAGAAGATTTAGAGAACGACGCGTTGTGTGCGATGTAGCACCATCCTGCTGGAACCAAAGATGTTCTCTTTGATCGTTGTTTAACTTTTGGACGTAGGAAATTGTTAAGCATATCAAAATATCGATCTCCGTTGACTGTTACCGTTATTCTATCTTCTTCGAAAAAGTAAAGACCCCACACGCCGAACTCCGAGATTGCACACCAGACGGTGACTTTTGGACTGGGAAGAGGTCGCTCATGAAGTTCCTGTGGACTATTTGCTGACCAATAACGGAAATTTTGTTTATTTACGGTAGACGAGAGGTGAAAGTGAGCTTCATCCCTAGACATGAATACAGCGCCTCTGGGAATGTTTTGAAGAATATCCCGGCATAAATTTGTACGGGTTTCAAAATCTTTTGCGCTTAATTCCTGCACTACCATCGTTTTGTACGGATGCATTTGCAGTGAGTTGTGTAAAATTGTTCGAGCACTTCTATCGGGAATTCCCAAAGGAGCTGCATGCTTACGAGCTGAACGCCTTGGAGACTGTTGTACGGAAACTCTTACTGCATTCACATTTGTTTTTACTGTCCTTGGTCGGCCAGTAGATTTTCGGTTAAGCGCAGAACATGTTTCCCTGAAGTGTAAAGCCACCGACGAATTGTTCTTCCATCCGGAACCGCGCCATGCCGACCAACATCAAACTGATTCCAAAAGGCGCGCTGCGTCGCTATTACAGATTCCCCTAATAAACTTCTGGACAACGAAAACACGATGCACTGCGCTCCAAGCCATGTCGATAACTCAAAATTGCATACTTTTGTCTGCCTAACGCGAATGCGTACACAGTGTTGCCGGTTTTACAAACCGAACAACCACACTATTTGAAATCCTGCCTACCTTGTTGCCGCACCCTGTAGCATGTTTTTGAAAAAATGCAATATCCTACATCGTTCGAAACAATGAAATTATGGACTCGAATTTCAGAAATTAATTTAGAAACATCGCTAGCGCATTCGCAATATATCGGCAAATTTTAGGTAAGCGGCCTATTCGTTTGGTAGATTGATTTTGTCGGACATATTTGCAGTGCAACATCTGGCGAACGTGATATTCGACAACGTAGGGGCGGGAGGAGGGGTTTTTGTGTGTATACATGATTGATTTTAAACATTTAAAACATTGACATAGTTTCATCGAACGAAATTAGTATTTACGTTTCGCAACGTAAATTAGACTGTTTTTTCCAAATTTATTCTATCCGAGCCCGTAGTGCTGCGAAAAACCTCCCATGGAAAGCTCATTTTAACGACGGGGTTAAAATGGAGCTATCTCGCCGGTTCAACTTTTCCCCGTTTGATGTCGGCAATTTTTGACTCGTCTTTCTTAATTTCGGTCTACTCAAGTTATTTCAAATTTAATTAAATTTGGATTATTGTTCGCCGGACTTTATAATTGAAGGTTTGTTCATTTTAGGGATTAATTCCGATTATTGCTCCGCGGCGTACATTTCGACAGAGGTTTTATCCGAGCGACCGG